CAGACAGAAACAGAGTACAAAAATTCGACTGTGAATGTTGTATATATAAGATTCTAAACCAATGATGGGTGAAACAAGTACTATCACCTGCAAAATCCAAAGCTCTTTCAGGATGAACGTTCGCTCTCAAAGATATTGCGAACAATTTAGCTCTAAGGACTACCTTTTTTGGTGACAGGAGAAGAGTAAAATCTTCTAGCTTCTGTGTAGTGGTGCAGGACGTAAATCAATTGGCTGATAGCTCACTCGGTTCCTCCTGAAAAGTTATCAATTGTCGGATTACGCTTGTAGACTTAACATGGGGCAAGAACATGGAATATAATAAACTACATACCTCATCTGCGTCTATTTGGAACGGCTTCACAAAATCCTCAAACATTAAAGGAGAAAGATCCTTCATTATGCCTTCAACTTCCTACAAGATGAAAAGAAAACTTGTTAGTCTGAGGTTGTTTGTTCATATCAGTAGATAAGATAGCAAAAGTCAATGTAGTTTCAGAAACCATACCAATCCAGTAATCCTTGACCGTTGGAGTAACTCTCTCCTCTTGTTATGAATGTGCCTGTTTGCTTTGAGAGCATTCATCATCGCAAGCTCTTCAGTCTCCTCAATATACAGTCACCAACATTCAACATTCAAGATCAATGCCAATGCCAATGGGAAAGTAATAGTCTGTGATAAATGGATATACCCCATCAGGATTATCCGGTAAATCCACCACTCCAAGCTTACAGATTCGCACTTAAAATGAAAGACTTTGCAGTTACATAGATACTATATTTGTAAGGCACAATAATTAGTTAGACAAGACAGAGAGAGGGCAAGAGATAGACTAAGCTTTACTTTTGTTATTTTATCCAAATCATCTTTTCCTCCATCAGTGACATCATTTCCAGAAACCACACACCGTCGAGTCCACCATGAGCTACCACCATTTGCATCTTCATATAACCAAATATTGTGTAACCATGCCGAAAACCGATACAGCAGTTTCCTGTAAAATTTAAGAGAAGAATTTATTCAATCCACTGTTTACTGTGTGGACTATTCAACAATGTATTGTTATAACTGAACAAGAATTTTGAAATGTAGCTTGCCACCATGAAGGAGCTGAGGAAACGCGTGCCAGCCAAATCGAGGAAACAAATTAAATGAGCCAATACTATATGACCCGCCTCATGAACAACCAGAACATCTGTACTTATCCTTATAGAGTTTCAAATTAAAAAGGAAGATTACATAGAATGCTCCGACTCCAGAGTATCGATATAAGGCAGCTATCGATAAGTTTATGAGATCGATATTTGTGAAGACAGAGAGCACATGTTTAGCCAACTGAGAAGTTTGATCTATAAAAAGGAATCGCCTGAGTGTTTTTCAATTTCCTCTTGATTAGTCCGAGCACTAATAAATACATCGTTTGATTCTCTTTTGTGCTCTTGAGAACATAACACTAAACAGTGTTGATGAAAAGAATCAATACAACAGCCGAAATGACTCTTTACACACCAAGTTAGCTTGAAACCGAGACAGTACCGCAACGGTTTTTGCTCAGTGGCTGAGGGTTAGTTAGTCTTCCGTAGACTCTTTTGGTTAGCTTGGTAGAATTAGCTTTTGTTTTGAGTCCAAAAAGTAGAGAGTCATCACGACGAGACTTCTTGGAATGTTAAATTAACTTCATGGATGAGTAAATTTGCAGATCTAGGCAGACACTCAAATGTCTAAAGACAGGAAAAAAATTACAGGTTCGTAGTCATGACTTTCTTTAAAATGAATTGCTTACCTATCCATGTTGCTCCCTAGAAGAGCTGACATAAGGGGAAGAAGAGAGGTAGAAGTATCCAATGTCAAAATCTCAGTTCTCTCGGATACGATGTACCAAAAATAGTGAGAGTTTGCTCAAATGAAAAACCTTTTTTTACAATATTGTGGTGTTTACTTTCATGAACTAGACAGACAGAAGTTGCTTATCAGCCATCTTCTCTATTGAGCTTATAGAGTTTTTAACATTATTTCTTTCCCAATATTTGCAAATTTGGTGAAACAATTTAGAAGATGAATAACACTTACGGGAAATAATGAAGAACTACGGCTAGTATTTGAATTAGGACAGAACCAAAAAAGCATTAGCATAATTTGTACTTTCTTCGTACTTTCTGCATTAGCCACTACTGAAGTCCTTCTCGCCTAAAGAGAGAGGCTCAAGGGAAACAAAAGGCAAGTCAAGCTTTATGTATATGCTTACTCTCTATCTCTCTCTGTCTGATATCAAATCCTAAAGCTAAAGAAGATCTAATGATGCCGGGGTTGGTTACACCCTGTAATTGTGCTCATATCACTCTTAGCTTTAAACATAAAGTTGCAGTCATGTCATTATGATAAATCTGTCACCAAGACCTGAGAACTTCAATGTCACAAAGTGTGATACGCCAGTAGAAATTCATGGGGATGAAAATCTAGACTCTGAATTTGCCCTTCATGACTCTTAAACTCATGCAACAGTTTTTCCAGCTGCCAAATCCCACACCTGGTGAAACTGAAAGGAACCCACATATCAGATCCAACGTTAAGAGACAAATCAAAAGTATAGGTAGCTTGCTTTTCAAGATAACAAGTACAGTAAGCACTACAAACTGTGAGGTGAAACAAAGCTATAATCCAAAGCAAATGTCTTTCCCTATGGTAAACAAAATGGGGTTACTGAATCAATCCCGCTCGAGTGTCCATACAAGCTCTGACCACAAACACCCACATGTAGACACTGAGGCAGAAAATCTTCCAAACCGCTCTACTACATTATATCTAAAGTGCGTCCCATTTTCCCTACAACTAACTCATAATCCTACCAATTAAGAGGCATTCCTTACTAAAAGCAGTGAAGGGAGAAAGACCAGAATGGCGTTGGGCTTACCGATAGCCCATAGATTGACCTTGTGATCTTCCCCACCTGCTACAAGAACCCTCCATGTCTTCCTCCCGATCTTAAGACGGTTTACAGCAGCAGAATGTGCCAAAAAATTCCTCTTTTCAATTCAAAATGTTTCAAACAAGTCAAGGCTAAAGCAATAGGAAAAGTCACAAAAACATAAAGCTAACAAGTGCATACAGATCTCGTGAACTAGAGCTAAAAGCAGCAAATCAAGAAGCACGGACATTGGGGTTAATCCCACAAATAATGAGTATCCTTGAAAATTTGGTATAAACAAATAAAGGATACAGAGCTTGCTAAAACGGAGACTTGTAGTAAACGTCGTTGTTCCCTTTACCAGGAAGACAGAAATGCTAAAACGGAGTTGTTGGATGATTTTCTCTGTGGTTTTGGTTATCTCTCTAACGCCGTAGAGAGAATAAGATGTGAATGACACAGACAGCAACACAAGGAAGGAGGAGAGAGAAGAAGTTGCTTTATTATTGGGTGAATTAGCCCATATTCATATTCGATCCCAAAATTAAGAAAATATGGTCAACTAAGGCAATAACGGTTTGACCAAAACCTTTCCTCTTCTGCCCCGGAAACGTGATAGCCAGCGAAGCAGCTGTTGCTGATGTGGACAAAAAATATATGAGCTTTGAGTTATTTTACTTTTTTCCGCCTATGTGTGTCATGTTACTTATAACATTACTGTACATAATCGTGTGGTGTGGGCAATAAACGAAAGAGAATAGATTATATATAATACCTTCTAACACATGTTTCTTATGTAATATAAGTGATGTGTCCTGCATCTCAGTTGACTCGTTTGGAAAATGGTAATGGAAAACTAGGTTAATTTACAAAATAACATAGTCAATATAATAGGCCATTTGTGAGATAACATAGACACTAAGAAGATAGCATACCATTAACAGGTTCTCGAACACGCGAACCCAATGAATGGAGCGTTGACCTTATTCTAGCGATACGATTTTGTAGGCTCGATTACAAATGAGGATACAATGTGGACAATTGGGTTACTTTTAACTTAATCGAACCCATTGTTTATACTACGAAGAAGAAGGAGTTGGCTCACACTGGAAGATTTGTTTAGTATGTATCTATTAAAAAGGAGTTGACAATGTTATATTTAAAATACATACTAAGCAAATAATCCAATAACATTGTCACGTCTGAACAAAAATATGAAATTTTAAGTAACTAGAATAGACAGTTGAGACACAATATAAATAGTACTTCTGGTACACGTTCCTTCGCATTTCTCGTTGCTGCTAAAACTGCCTGCAAACAGTACATGCAAATAATACATTAGTAGCTTTAAGAATCCGGTTTACGCAACTGGTCATTTGATTTATGCACACTTTTYCAGTTTGACTACAAGTYGTAGACTTATTATTATATTGTGTGAGGCCYAGCTTGAAAGTAGATGCCTCAATATTAACACCATCAACGTTACCGCCAGCGGTATGATCTTGCGCACATGATTTGAGTAAGATTAACAGTCTAACATAGTATAGACATGTATCGCATTTGAAAAAATTAATA